AAATGAACATTATTACCAGAGTGAATTATGTATGTGGAAGACTTAGAATAAGAACAACACCATCTTTCTTATAAACTTAAGCTTAGTTGATGTCTTTGGTCAGTTTAATTTGGAAATTTAAATTATGGGTTACACAGTTAATGTTTAATGTGGACTTCAAAAAAATATTTTCAATGTGCAATTCTCTCTTTAAAAGTAATCTTACCTGGAAGCCAAAACACAAACAGATAAAAGCAGAGTTGTTCTAATGGAAAAGGTTTAGGGCAGATGAGTTGCCACCCCTTACCCCACAGAATCAATAGGCAGGGAGGGGAAGATAAGAGCCCTTGCAAAGCACAGGTGTCTTTCTAGAAGGGTGGGCATGTGAAGGGAAACCTTCTGGCCCTGCAGATCTTTGAAAGAGTAGATAGGTCTTGAGACTAAGCCACATTTAGGAAGACGGGCTGTACAGATGAGTTCTTCTCTTTTAACAGAGTTACAAGAAGAGAGGGTACCCTGCGATGGAAAGGTAAAAAAGAAAATTGGAACCAGCAAGGATACGGATGGTTGTTAAGTAGCCAGCACACTGGCAAACAGGTCTTGCTAAATTCAGCTGAGCTGTTACTAAGGTAGTCTCTACCCCTTGGTTACCACCCCCATTTTCAGTACAGAGTATTACTTTTGCAAAAGCCTAGTAAGGCAAGACATTTGCGAAGACTAGCAGAAGGGCTTGAGGGTTTATGGTCTGGGTGGACATGACATGGAAAGGAACAGCACGTGTGGGGCTAACAGATGGCCAAAAACGGGACTCATTCGATTGTCAGGACAATTTGTGGAGTAAGTGTCAAGTGCCTAGAAGAGCATCCTGCCCATTTATCATGGCTGATATATGATTGTTCCATAAGTAAATAAGTAAATAAATTCTGTAATAAAGCCCCCGCGGTGAGCTCAGCTAACGTGGCCACGCAGAGGAACAGAATCCTTGGAGTCAGTACCAAGGGCAGTGGCGGTGTCATCCAGAGTTCTACAACGAGATTCATTTATTATGCCAACTCAGAGGCCCAAGATTATCACCTCATTAATGATAAATACTAAGGGTACTTTCATATTCCAATCCAGATGATTTAGTATAAATACTTGGAACATAGTAGAAATCCAGTGAGAAATTCCTCAACGAAGAAGTAGATGGATAGATATTTTGTCTTCTGAAAACCTGTATATTAATTTTAAAAAAATTTAAATTGGAGTCTGGATGACAAAATTAAATATTGGGGAGCATTTGAATTATTTTAATTTATAGCATTGCTAGGATTTTTTTTTAAGATTTTACTTATTTTGGTGCTCCTGGGTGGCTCAGTCACTTTAAGTGTCTGCCTTCGGCTCAGATCATGATCCCAGGGCCCTGGGATTGAGTGCTTCATAGGGCTCCCTGCTTCTCGGGGAGCTTGCTTCTCCCTCTGCCCCTCCCGCCTGCTCATGCACACTCTCTGTCTCTCTCTCTCACAAAAATAAAAATCTTTTTTAAAAAATATTTTTTTTTTGAGAGAGTGTGTGCACTTGAGCGGGGGGGGTGGGGGAAGGGCAGAGGAAGAAGAGAGAATCTCAAGCAGAGTCCTTGCTGAGCATGGAGCCCTATGCAGGGTTCAATCTCACAACCCTCAGATCATGACTTGAGCCAAAATCAAGAGTCGGACACCTAACTGACACCTAAGTCGGACTCTATCCTCGTATGACTAGGATATTTTTTTAACCATCATAATTGTCTCTAGTTCCAAAGGAATTCTTGTAGTCTTAGGAGTATCCATTGGCCTTGCTCATGACAGTAAACTCACCCATGGCTCTCCCCAAACCAGCCGCAATGTTTATCACCAATCTAGAAGTGGATATTTTAATGCAAACTTATCTCCACAGATAGGGTTTGCATACGGTAGGTCATAAGCAATAGTTCTGGATACAAAGGACAGCAGACAGACTCTATGGTTCTACCTTCAAGATATATCCACAATCCAACCACTTATACCATTTCCACTAGCAGCACACTGGCCCAGGCCACCGTTCACTGTCATCAGAATTACTGTCATGGCCTCCTGACTGAGTTCCCAGTTCCACTTCAGCCCCATGGTATCTTCTCTCAATACAGCAGCCAGAGAAGCTTGTTAAAATACAATCACACTGTGACCCTCCTCTGCTTAAAATATCTGTATTAGTTGGCATTCCATCAGGAAAGCCAGAAACCACTCTTCTGGGGTATTTCAAAGAGAGGGAATATGTATCAGAGGGAATTGATTACAAAGATTAGTAACTACAGCAATCCACCACCACCGCTAGGCTGGAGGAACGTTCCACCGAACCTACAGGCAGAGCCGCTGATGTGACTACAGCTGGAAGCAAGCTTCCCAAGCTAGCATTCCCACGTCAGCTGCTCGTGGGAACGGCTATCAGGATCCCCCTCAGAGAGAGAAGGGAGGCGCTTCCTTCCTACCATCTTCCAGCTCTGCCAGTACCACCTGTTGGCAGAACTTAACAGGAAGCCAGCAGGCGAGATTTCTGGGAAGTGGAGTTTGCAGGTCTCCTGCCCCAGCAGTAAGAGCAGGGTATGGAAGGAGACGGTATGTGGTTGACGGAAAACAGACCCCATCCAGAGCAGCACTTGACTCAGTAAAACCCAAGTTCTTACAAAGGCTCTGAAGGAAGCCGCCCTCTCATGCCAACACACCCGCGCCTTCCTTTCTGACCTCATTTCCTGACACTTGTCATCTTGTTCCCTGCACTCCAGCCACACTCATTTCTTTGCTGCTCTCCAAACACATCAGGCTCTCCTTCCTGAGGCTAGCACTTGCTCTTTCTGCTGTCTGGAATAATCTTACCCCACATACTTTCACAACTTACTCCTCATCTCCTTTAGGCCTTTATTTAAAGGAAACCTCTCAGTGATGCTTCCCTGAAAACTAATCTAAGATTTCAACCCTCCCAACTCTCTATTATTTTTTCATGAAAGCCTTTATCTTCTTCTAACACTCCAAACACCTATACATTATATATGTGCATACAATTATATATTTTAATTCTCTGTTGCATACTTTCCAGTTGTCTCTGAATATATACATCATATATTAAATACATGTTTTCAGTTGTCAGCATCTCCCCACCAAAATGGAAGCTCTATGGGGGTGAGGATTTTGTCTGTTTTGTCTACTGATACATCCCCAAGGCTCAATAAATACCTGTTGTCTGAACAAACAGATATAATTATTAGTGGATGTATTTATTATGGGATGAAAAGGATTAAAGGTTCCGGAAAGCATGAAAGAAGGAAAAGAAGCCAACATTGCTTACACTTCTTCCTCTGGGAAGCCCTTCAAACCCCACTCAGGCTATATGAGATGTCCCTTCTCTGTGCTTCAAACACTCCTTGTAATTCCCCTGTCCCAGAACACGTCACACAACACTGTAATTATCCGTTTGTACATCTGTTTCTCCTCCACTGAAACTGTAAGCCCCATGCCCTACCGAAGGGATGGTGCCCATATGGGCAACAGTGCACATGCAGCAGGAGGGGCTCAAATTATTTATCATCGAATATTCCTGTCAAAAAAGAGAAGAATATACACCGAGATTTCCTGTTATCATTCCTTCCTCTGGTACTCCGGAAGAAGAGAAGTGCCCAAAGCTGCGAGAAAACATACACCTATTCAGAGAACAGTTAAGTGTCGAAGCAAAGAAAGCCAGTGAACAACCATTCTATCATTCTGGCTAAGAGAGAACAGGCAACATTTATCACGGCTTCCAAAAATATTTTAATCTTTTTATTAGAAGTGTTCATATTTCCTGAAAAGCATTCTACTGTTGAATTATTTTAACAGCTATTAGAGGATAACAAACAAATCTTGAAAAAAATTAAGTTATGAAAACCAAAATTATCATAGAAAAGCCATGTGTCTCTCAGATAACAGATTTTACAGTGATACTCTCAAGGGGTAAGGACAGTGGGTGTTAGAGCTACAAAAGTTCATTAACAAAAGAATTTCTCTAATTTTATAACCAACCTTAAGAGGAAAGAATTACCTTTAGCACATGTATTCACAGGTGGCAGAAAGATAATTCTTAAAAATCTGCCTTGGTGATAGTTTTTCTTTTAGTCGGTTCCAACAGAGAACTACAAAATAGCCAAGCTTTTCTGAAGAAATTGTGGCTTTATCTTAGATTTAATATACATTTATTTATTTACTAATAATTCAGGGGCTGGAAGAAGTCATATCATACGCACATACTTAAGCACCAAATTTATCATAAATAGCTTTGACTTGGCTTATAACCCCAGGAGTTTAGAGGCACGCAGAAATGTCTTATCTCATCTGGTCTTAAGAAGTAGCATTGCTCATTGCCTGCATGAACACTACCCAAGCACTTCACACAGGAGACAGTCAGGACATTGAAAGAAAGGCCTTCTCAGCTCGCCTATCTTCAGCATAAAGCCCATACATGTTGTTTTGTTTCTAGCGGCCTGCTCATACATTCCACATAGGGGCATCCCTTTTCTCTTCTGCTTAATTAAAAATTTAATCTGATCAATAATGATTTGAAATGCACTATAAGCTACAGGAATTCAGTTTATCAGAAACCTGCCTTTTTTATTCCTTTCTCGCTGCATAATTTTGCAAAATAACTTCCAACCAGAAAATGATTTCAACCTGCTGCCTGAAATGTACATTTATTTGCTCACTAGTGCAAGGGAAAAGCTGAGCTAAGTCAAGTAAGATGCACGCACACGTTCCTGGAAGGATAATTTTAGAACCTGTTTCAAAGCAGACTCTAATTCGAAATTGCCTCTGCCGCTTAGAACCACACGGAGATGCTCCTAGCCTTATGAAATGTTATCAAGCGATTGAGTTTTGCCAGTGGTGGAAGTGGTCGCAAGCCACTGTGGCTTCCTTGCTGGGTGAGGGAAGAGAAGGAGGGGGCAGTTTATTAGAAATAGCTTCAGGAAGGATGCGATCACATCGGACGTACAAAGCCACGGGCTATTGACTGCAAATCTGGCAAGGCTGCAGGCCATTCTCATTGCAGGCAGGGCAGCGCAGGGCCCGATAGGACTCCTTAAATCTGTTGGCCAGCATGGAGAACTTGCTGCCGTGGCACAGAGAGCAGGTGGCACTGCCCGAACCTCGGCAGTGAAAACAGTTGTCCTCGGGAAGCTCCCCTTCCTGCAAGAGACAGGTCAGGGTTTAGTGACAACAGTTCCAGACCATGGTTCCAAAACAGGGCGAAGCAGCACAGGGCTGCCCAACAGGCAGAGTACAAAATGCTTCCCAAAAATGCCAGTGCGGAAGCTGGCCAGAGGCATAGAATACTCACTGGAATTTCATCAGAGAGGATTTCCCCGATGGAATCTCTAAGGCAGCAGCCCCTGCTTTGCCTTTTGTACCTTTCCTTTCCTCGTCGCCCTTATCACCATCTGACCTGTGATTTCCGTATGCTCTACCAGGATGAGGGCTTATTCTTCCTTGTTGCCAAATACTAACAGCGAACACTTATAGCATGCTTAGTAGGGGCCGGGTATGGTTCTAAGAGCTTTCTCTACATCCACCTATCTAATCCGTATGCTATCCTGGCGAGACAGTGCAAGTATTAGCATCCTTCCTGCAGATAGGAAAATGAGAGACTGAGAAGTTCAGTTATCTGGCTGTGGTCACACAGCCTGGAAGAGAGGAGGCAGGTTTTGATCCCAGGTGATGGAGCACCAGAGTTCCTGCTCCTCGGGATTATGCGCACAGCCCCTCCCTGTAGCTGTCCCAAAAGCCGGCATTCTTGTGTGACTGATTGAGGGACTGAAGTCAAGAACTGTGAGAGACTCAAGGTTACAATCCTCTAAAGCTTAGCTCTGAATTCTTGCAGTACTTTCTTTTCTTTGAGAACTGTGATAAAGCCTGGGACAGCAATTAGGCACCTTGGACAGTTCCCTTGGCCACTCTGAATCTTTGTTTTTCTGCAAAATGGGACTGGTAATGCTCACCACTCAGAGTAGCTGCAATATGAAATGACAGAGTATATGAAAAGACCACAATATATTATCTGCCATATTACAGATTCTCCATAAAAGTCAGTTCACTTCTAAGCCTTGCCAGTAAGTCTGGACTTACTAGTCCTTGACTCACATCTTACAGAAAATGCCCCGTCTACTGCCATGCTCCTTCCCTAAGACATCTCAAGGAAACCGGCAGACTCTATACTCTGCAAAGATTGTGCATAGACCAGAACCTTCCAAGAAATAAGGGGTGGTACCAGATCAGTAACAGGTGAATCCAGCACCAAGGCCTGTCTATTTTACCTGCTAAACATCTCTCAAATCCACCCAGGTTTCTCCATCCCTGACCAAAATCCTAGTCCAGACGTCCACCAATTCTGGCATGGATCCAGAGTGGAGCCCTGCCTCTCATCTTGTGGGGCTGTTCTCCCCAACCCAGTTGACTCCTATTTGGTTTTAGATGTCAGCTTAGCAGTACCTACACCCCTGGCCCAGGAGGCCTGACCTGCCTGTACTGCCCCAAGCATGGCAGGTCTCATAATCTACTGGAAGCTTCTGCTGACCACATGGGAAGCTCTCTGTGCTAGTCCCTGTCACCATCACACCCAAGCCTTAAAGTGCAGTGCCTGGCACAGTATCTGTCATTCACATGTTTGCTGAATGAATGAACAAAAAGACAGTATCTACAGAACCCTTCCAATTCTTAAATTCTAGGAACTCACAAGATGGCTGGAGTCCACTGGGTGGCTTCATTCAGCCAACACAGCTCTCTTTTATAACTTAAGAATAAAAATAGTCTTGAAAAGGGTGGCATAAGTTCTGAAAGTGGTTCCATTGTGCTACAAAGTACCTAAGAAGGCATTAAATTTCATTTATTCTAGATTTAAGGAACAGAAGTGATTACCCAACTGACAAAAACCTAAATTATGTCTATGCATCCTTTTGTTCATATTTATTGATTGTGGCCATATTTTGATATATTAACAATGGGGAAAGTTGTTTTCTTCCCTTAAAATGTTCAAAAGAGATGTATTTGCCAAAATTTTCTTTAAGCAAATTGTCACGGTCCTTTTTTTTCTGCCATATCCACGTTTTTGTTTTGTACTGGATCCCAGTGAGATTTTAATGTTGCCAAAGGAAGTATAGTAAAATCCTACCATAATGCCATCCATGTCAACCAAAAATTAATTTGCACAGAAGGCCAGGTTCAGATATTAAAAGATTAAGGAAAAAACCTGGTGAACCTGCTGCAGGGAAAAAAACAAATCATCGATCAAGTTTCCTCTACTGTCATGTGGTTATATGATGAAGTATTAGAGGTATCACTGGAGTTTCTACTCTTACCCTGGGATACCACTCTCCTTCCAACCCTTGCCCTCAGCGTGCTGATTGGATCTTTTAATGAGTCATTAAATCAAGTGTTACTGAGCCTCTACTCTGTCCATGGCACGCGAGATGTAAGCTTTTGTCTTCCATACCCGGGTTTTTAAATTCTTCTCAGAAAGCAGTAAGAGGACTTAGAACATCGCTGTACTGCACAGCTTAGGTTCTAGAACCAAGAGACCTAACTGCCTCTTACTAACTCCATGAGCAAGGAAAGGGGATCGGCTTTCATGGCAGACTCAAAGGCTTGGGTAAGCCTGAAGGAGCTAAGAAGCACCAATCTGGAGGCTGCTCAGCAGGCAGGTTAAGACGGTATGATTGGTAGTCAGGTTGACTGGGCTTTGACCCCTGGCTCTGATGACCTCCGGCAAGTTACTTAACTCCTCTGTGCCTTGATGTCCCTAGCTACAGAAGAAGACTGCTAACAACACCTCCCTCAGAGAGTCCTCATGAGAACGGAAGAGCCTAACGCATGGAAAGCGCCGGACATGGTGCCCAGTGGTCAGAGGCCCTCAATAAATGGCAGCTCTTATTATTACTTCAAAGGCAATATCTTTATAAAGCATAAAGAAGCCCAGATGACTTATGGTCTCGGATCCATAGAACACACAGCCAGATTTTCCCCCTTCCGTATTTCTCTGTGGCTCAATTCAATCATTCCTCTCCTTTTCTTTTACGGTTAATACAGAGAGTCAGCATGTCTGGCTTTTAGCCTTGGTCCGCTCTTTCATCACGGTTCTCACTGCTTTCCTGTTCCATCTAACACAACAAAGAGTCTCCTGGTCGGAAGGGGCTTCTTGATGTTCTCCGACCCTCTTTTATACAATAAAACCTGTCTGGGCATTTATTGCACGAGGGATTTGGCAAACAGATAGCAATTTAAAACAAAGTTTAAAAGACAGGCAAGTATAGTATAACCTTTCACAGCAACTTTCTGCTGCACACTTCTGTCCTAGTTTATAGTAGTAGAGCGAAAACACATGGATCTCTCCAAACTGAATTTAAAGATAATTGTCATGTCAGGCCTGTTGCTGCTTTTTTATTCAGGCCTGCAGCATGACCTGCATTTTATCATGCCTGGCTCTCTTCTGAAAATATATGCTCCAACAAATTACAGAATGGTGTGAAAAAGAGTAGAATTAATGAATTTTAAAGTGGGAAAGTAATGCTTTGGGTCATAATGTTTAGTAGTCCGCCTGTTGCTCTGCTAGGTTCTGAACAGCAAGAGAAGGTAGAAGCACAATCCTTCCTCCCAGCTGGCTCTCTGGTTCCGAATTCTAATACTCTTTCCACAAACATTTAACTAATATTTACTGCACACCTACTCTATGACAGGCTCTATTTTTATTTTTCATTTTTTTGACATGGGAATTCCTATGCCACACCCAACATAAATATGGCACCTGCCCTTGTGGAGAAAAATTCTAGTGGGTGAAAGTTAACATCAACCAAAGATTTACACAGGGAAATCTGCAACTGAAAAGGGGGGTGAGGTGCTCTGAGGGGTCCAGTCTTGGATATTTCATCCTCCTAGAAGTGAGGAGAGGCCCCTCTAAAGAAATGATGTCTCCATTGAGATTTCAGGTGCTAAGGGCAAAACAGTGGGGAATCTGGAGAACATTCTAGGCACAAGGAAGTTGCCTCTGGCAGAAAAGGGCAAAGACCATATGAGTGGTAGCTAGAAGGGCAGTGTGTCTGGCAGAATGAGAAGAGATGTTTAAGAGGAGGCTAAAGAGGTGAACAGGCTATCTACTGTCTTATTCCAAGAAGTGAGAGGTCACTGAAGTTTGCAGCGGGGAAAAAGACTGATGAAGGGGAGACGTGATCGGATTTGCATTTCAAAAATATCTTATCAAGTGTGAGATCAGGTTGCAAAGAGATATGGGTCCTTGTGAGCAGAACTTTAATAAGAATCTTCTGCTAGAGTCTGGTCATGACCTTCTGGTTTCTGCCCTCTAAGCCCTACCAGGGTAGACATCACTCACTATGAGGAAGTCCCTTGCCCATTTTGTCACACCAACCCTGAGGAGGTGAGAATAAAGCTGAAACTCCCAAGGGATGGAAACCAAAGAGAGAGAAAATTCATTTCTGCTGCTATCCAAGCTTTTACCCTCTTAGCTTAGATCCATCAAAATTGCTTTTCCCACTGCCAATCCCACACTGTGAACTAATGAATATCATCACTCTACCCCTTCATCTGAGCATGTCTGAGCAACAGTTTCCAAGGTGAGGAGTCAGCACCTCTGAGAGGTGTGGGCAGAAAATCATTCTAAGTATTTCTATTTATTTTGTATCTTAAAAAGGCAAGAAATTAAGCTTCAATCATACTTTCAAAAGAAAATGGTATGCTAATTTTTAATAAATTAGTTGCTACTGGCCTCTTCACTGGGTCAGGCAGTCTGCAGACAAATATAGGACCCAAGGAGCCCTGGAGCAAGCATGATGGAAACTGACCTCATAGCACGTAAAGTGCCAGTGGCGTCCCGGCTCATTCATTCACTTCAAGCATACCGCAGCATAAAGAAGTTCCACTGTCCCTGGTCCAGCAGATGTACAGAGGATAGTGCTTAGTATTAAGGAAACTAATCTCTACAAAACCCAGACACATGGCTTGATAAGATTCATTAAGGAAATTGGATTGAGGATAACCCCAATAACAGAAGCACAAGCAAACCCGTAAGAAAAAGAACAGAGCTGATTTTTTCCATCTCTGGAAGCTGTTCTATGCCATACTATATGCAGAGTGAAGACAATAAATACCTAATCAGCTCTCAGAAGTCACCAAAATCAACTAAAATTATGCATATTTGAAATATAGATGTAACTATTATTGCTAATCACATACCATTAAAATGTAATAAACTTAAAATTCCTCGACATTTTTTAACAGTTAGACATCTAAAGTATTTATATTGACGTTTTCACTTAAGTAGTTTTCAAAACCATGTGGGGACCACTGCTGTAGGGCCAATTCCAAGGAGGACAGTGAACCACTCTGACACACCTGTGGGTACTGGCTATGGGGGAAAGTGCTTTCCGCGTCTGGCAAATGCCCATCATTCTGGTCACGGTCTCCATAGATTTCTTCTTTGCTCACCAGAGACTCTTCCTCAGCCTCTTCTTCCTTCTGGAGAATTTTCCTCATGAAATCTCTCTTGTCCATTGGGGTTCGAATGATTTTCAAGTTATTCGTGTAGATGATGATCTTTCCAAAATCTATAATAGGTGGAGACTAGAGAAATGGAGAATGAGCATGGCGACTTACCAGCAATCACGACATACAGGGCTGCAGAACCTGTTCAACATCCCGGGAAACAGGGGACAAAGAACTTGTCTAGCACTTAGAATTCCACAAGTCCCTAAAGCTACAATTCGTGCCCGGGTTTGCTGGCTCTCTCTAAAAGCCCTGAAAACCAGCTTCCTTCTCCCTGTTGATGGTAACCAACCCCAGCTGAACGAATCCTATGATGGGGCTCTAAGACTTGGCAGGGCCGGAGCCGAAGCTTCTATTCCCATTACATATCACAGTAGCTGAGGCAGAGCTGGGCACAGCGGGTGTTTTATAAACACAGAAGAATGCTTAAAAAAAAAGCAGTTCTCCAAAATGTTTATGTATAAATGATAATATTAGATAAAATTTTTTTAATATTAGATAAAATTTACTGAATTATTATTTTACTCTCGTGGATAGCATTTTTTTGTGTGTCAGACATCATGCTAAGCATTTTACAAACATTACCTCACTTGCCCCTCAAACATCCCTTGAGGTAGATGTTATGATTTCTACACTTTACAGATAAGGAGACTGAGTCACAGTGGGGTTAAGAGCCTCCCAAGGTTATCAGTGGCTGGGATGATTCAAACCCCAGTCTAACTCTAAAGCCCATATTTTTAACACCTACACTGCACTATTCACAAGCATTTTCCCCCCAAAAACCTGTAAGATCATTATGTATACAATGATCATATATATATACATATATATATAGAGAGAGAGAGAGAGAGAAGTGATCTTACATATATGTAATGATCTTATATATGTAATGTTTTTATTATCTGTATAATACGTTAATCTTTTTAGGTCAATAAATATATTTCTGCAGCATCATTACTAATAGCTTATGTTCCTTTACGTGGATTTTTTATGTATGACTTGGTAATTTGCTGAGGAATAATTTAGGCAATACTATAATGAAGCAGAGAAGCATGGAGGAGTAAATGTTTGGGGATTACTTAACTAAGAACCCAGAGATAAGAAAGCTTGGCAACAAACAAGACCAATCTTAATACTGCTGTCCACCAATTGTAAGATACAGGAGAGTCATCTGGCCTCTTAGAACCTCACTTTGCTCATTCCAAATGGGGTGACATCTAACTGGTGGGCATCACCACAGACAAAATCATTATGAAACCAGGAATGCCTTGGGGTGCCTAGGAGGCTCAGTTGGTTGAGCATTCGAACTGCTGAGCCCTGTTCAGGTCATGATCTCAGGGTTGAAAGATCGAGCCCCGAGTCGGACTCTGTGTCCAAACTGGAGTCTGCTTAAGATCCTTTCTCCCTTTCCCTCTGCCCCTCGCCCCCTTCAAGCACGTGCACACACTATCTAGAAAACAAAACAAAAAACAGAAATACTCGGATACTGGGTGGTAAGCAGGAGCTGTCCTGCGACTTCTGTATGCCCTCCTGTCGCCCACAGCTCTCTTTAGGGAGCCTCTACCGTCCCCAAACCCAGTAATGTAGCCGTTAATGCTTAGGAGCCCAGGTCTCAGGACCCCGTCCCAAAGCTCTGCTGGCTTCTGTGCTGACAGGGCAATGTTCCTGGGGTGCAAGATTTTGATGCTCATTCCTGAGGCTAATTATATCGATCTCTAGGGGTGGAAGTGCAATGAAGAACATATAAAACAGGGTTTTCAAAGCTAAAAACACTATGCAGGGTTGTTGCTGTTGCTGGTACTTAAAACTGTTCATTAGTACTGCGTGCACAATCATGCTACACAGCTAATAAATACGTCGGCGCCAAATATTCTGCCTGCCTTTACGAAAGTGTGGAAACCAAATTCACTGGGATGCCACAATCAAGCAGTCTCCTATATACAGCCATAACACATTCAGTCGCAACCTGGCTGAAACAGGACTTCAGAACTGGGATCCCCTTCTTTGGAACACGCAGAGAGTTTTCTATCACATTATTTATGAAGCCAGGAGCTTCCTACTTGGCCCTGTTTTCTCTCCCTCTCTTCAAGGGATTGTGTGGCAGCTTCCCTTTCCTATTGTTTGATGCACACCGGGTTCCTGTTTCACACTCTGGACTATCAGTTTCTGAACATCAGAAGATAAAGATGGTGGCACTTTTAGAAGGTTCCATTTCCACTTCCACTAATAGCCAAAGAGGTTTAGTTACTAGGGAGCTTTTTTTCACATGTAGAACTGGTTTTTTCAAGGTGAAACTCTTAACCCACTGAAAAAGAAATTGTGGTCATCTGGTCCAACCTCCTGCCTCTAAGCTGGTCTGTATCCGAGACACCCAAGATAGTACATTTATTTTTAATGTACTTGAAAGGAGAGGGGTCCCAAATCACCTGTAAGGTGTGTTTATGTTTCAGTCACCCCGACAGCCAAGTTCTTCCTTGTGTCTAAGGAAACCCTCAAGGCGTAACTAAAGTTCACATTATCTGGTGACAACCAGTTGCCCGTGAAGAACACACATTCTTGCATTACAGAGGGTCAGGATGAAGCCATGAATTTTCGTGTTTCCTTCCATAGTGCCCAGAATGGCAACTTGAGTGACTGAGCTTCATAAGTGCTCTGACGTCCGCGGCCACGTGCCTGGAGACTCCTATTCGGGCATCATGACACCTTTCTGCTTAAAATAACAGAGACGCCTTCCTGAGTTCTAGAAATTCAAAAGGCTATGGAGGCAGGCAGGCCTGAGGTCAATTTTTCTGTGCAATATTTGCAAGTTACCAAACCCCATGTGCTATTTTTCCAATTTGTAAAATTCTCAAAGAACTGCCTTGAAAATGCAATGACATATATACAAAAGATGTGTTCAGTAATATGCCATGTCCCTTCCTTCCCTTCCATTTTTTTTAAATGAAACTTATAAACTTCAAATGGTTTCAATTCTTTAAAATATTTATTTGTTTATAACTACTTTCTCTATCATATAAAAAAATTTTTTAAAAGACTCAGTATTTCTTTGATGAGAACCTGGTCATTATCACAAAGGTAGGGATTACTTACTTGCTAAGCACATCCAATGTTCCAGGTACAATGCTGAGTGTTTCTTACATATAATCCTTTTTTAATCACCACAACAATCTTCATAAGTTGATACTTTTATTTAATCTCATCTCATAGAAAATGACATTGAAGCACGACAAGATTAAGTGGTCTGTTAAGCTCCCACAGTAAGTAGGCAAGGGGACAGCAAGCCCGGATTTAAAAGACATCAGAGCCCGTGCCGTTTTTTTTTTTTTTTTTTAAGATTTTACTTATTTATCTGAAAGAGAGAGAAAGAGAGAGCACAGGCAGGGGTGGAAAGGCAGAGGGAGCAGAAGAAGCAGGCTCCTTGCCGAGCAGGGTCCCCAAAGCAGGGCTCGATCCCAGGATCAAGACCAGAACCAAAGGCAGACGCTTAACTGACTGAGCCACCCAGGTGCCCATGCCTGCTTTTTTAAAATGATTATTTTTACTGTGGTAAAATACATAGTACATGAAATTTACCACTTTGACCACTTCTCAGTGTACAGGTCAGTGGCATTATTATGTTCACACTGTTGTGGAGCCCTTACCACCCGTCACCCCCAGAACTTCTTCATCTTCTCAAACTGAAACTGTATCCCCATTAAGCTCCCACTGCTCTATTTTCTGTCTCTATAAATCTGACTATTCTAGGCACTTCACATAGATGGAATCATATAATTATCTTTTTATGACTGGTTTATTTCACTTAGCATAATGTCTTCAAGTTTCATCTGTGCTGTAGCATGTGTCAGCATAGCCTTCCTTTTTAAGGCTAAGTAATATTCAACTGTGTGCATATACATTTTATTTGTCCGTTCATCTACCGATGGACATTTGGGTTGCTTCCACTCGTGAACAACTGTGAATAAAGCTGCTATGAACACTGATGTACAAACACCTCTTCAAATTTAGAGCCTTTACTTATAATTGTTGTGTTTAACTGCTACCCAGTGTTGCTTCATAACCAATATTTACTAGGTTTTATTTTATAGTTGAATTTGCTACTGAAAAATCGTGGCTTTCCAAGCTCTCATTTCCTTAAGTTTCATAAATACCACACTGACAACCGGTTGCAGTGGGCGGAGCTGCAAGAATCCATCCTGACCCCCTCTTACCCGGAGACTGGCTAAAATTGGGAGGTAGCATTTGGATTAGGCAGCAAAGAAAACAAGGATAACTGGATCAAACAGGAAACCTGATCAAGCAGGAATCAAACTCTGAACACGGTCTCCAGAGTACTATGTTTAAACAACGTTGTGGTGCTGCTATGAAGACTCAGTTGTCTGGTTTTATAAGTCCTTACCAAATCATACATATACATAAGTCCCAAGTTGGACACAGGACTTGTAAAGGTCAGGTGGCCAAATTATCTACCATAGCCTGCACAAGGTCTATATAAACCACAGCTTTGTAAAGTCTAAACATACAGGTAAGATTTAGTTTCAAAGAGATACTGTAAGTACAAGATATAGCCAAGAACCTAGGATATAATAAGCATTTGGTAAATGGTAACCATTACTATTAACATTACCATTAATATTAATGGTGAGAATAGAATTGAAATAAAAAGAATAATTTTAGAGAATAAAAAGGAACATCCCACACAACCAAAAGCATGAGGAACCAGAAAATCTGGGTCCTTATTCCGACTTTGCACCTATGACTCTCTAATACTGGGTGGATCCCTTAATAACTTGGCACTCGGTTTTCCTCATCTGCAAAATGGGAATGACTGTAGTTTGCCTTTCTCCTCCAGGCTGCGGTAAAGACCAAGGACAAACTATGTGAAACTGCTTTGTAATGCATAAGTCGCTCCACTAACATGTTCACTCCAGCCCCTTTTATTATCAAAAAGAAACCTGGTATTATCTCTGATCAATGTGGACTCCCATAATTACACTTTTACCAATGTCAGAAAGGCCAGTGCATTTGTCTGTATAGACGAATTATCTGTTCCCTTAGGAAACTAACAATAAAAATGATTAGAGAGTAATTATCTGAATTTCACACTTTAAAGATGAGAGCATATCCTGGTGTACTATTCATTAATAACCTGGCACATTATATAACTGTATTTAATATAAAAGAAAAAAAGGCATTCATGGTCCCAATGGCAGCCACATACACATCTCCTTTTCATTTTTAGAAATCAGTGACTATTTTCCAAGTTCTTCTAGCTTCAAAGAAAATCATGTAGGGGCTTTTCATTATGCATGGTACTGGGGAAGAGAACTGAAATTAAGAGATAAAATACACATTTCAATTGAACTATTAGCTCAAACTTCTTCCCCCAGTAACATTTCCTGTTTGACATGCTTTTCGCCATTTCTTCCCAGGATTCCAACCACTCAGTGTTCACACTAATGAGCTATGGAAAGGCAAAATAAACAAAGAAACAAACATTTTTTAAAAGCAGGCAGCAGGAGGGGGATAGGAAATAAAGTAAGACATGGATAAACCACAAGCTGAGTAACTGGCTGGAGTGAAATGAGTACCTTCGAACACTCAGCTCTTTCAGGAAACAAAACAACCAGTTGTCGCCTAATTTTCTAAAACGCAGTCTGGCCAGCTGAAAACCACAGCATCTCTATTTAATTTACTTACCAAGATAACCCAGCAAATGGCCCAATTACAATTTACTACCCTGGATGGAACTGAATACTGTACATGCTCATTGCACTTTCCAATAAGGAGGCAGCAAGCATGCTATTTTTGTCCCAGAAATATTATTCCAATAGCGGCTTCCCATTTGGAGCACCTACAGCTCTGGTTGGTACTGGAGCATAAGCAAGATAGAAATTTGAATCAGATAGGTGTTTTCCTATATATGTTTTAGTCCTTAAAGTTCATACACCATGCACAATACCAACCTTATGGTCATTCGCCTTGTAATCATTGAAGAAAGGCTGGCTGCCCGCCAAACTGTAGGCATTGCCCTCTCTAAACACGCTGATCCTTTGAGCAGTCAGCTTAGGGGAGTATGGTTGGGGCTTGGGGGCTTCTCCAGACCCGTAAACACCATCCACCGGTTCAAGGGACTCTTGGAGAAAACTGTGAGGGTATTCCTCCTTTGGCGACTCTAATTCCTGCCCATCCTCAAAGACCTGCTTCAACACTCTGCCACTGTAGGAGGAAGAGATTTTAAATCGTACTTTCCGTGGTTTGCCGTCACTCTTCTGGTTCAGCTTCTTCTCAGGGTCCTCCATCAGTAGAAATTTCACCCTGTGATTTGCAGGCTTCAGTGTAGCCAGTAAAATTTGGGGCTCTGAGGAAAAGGCATTTTATTTTCTCTCCTCTTGCGTATAATTAATTCAAGTTGGTGCTGGGGAGTGCTCAGTTTACAGCAACTGACACCCACACATTAAATATTGATAGACCCTCATGCCAATGTAGGCGATTGTGGGTTTACAGAGCGGAAGGAGCACAGTGTAAGACAAGACTGGGTCCCCTTTGAATCCTAAACTCCCCCATAACTTCACCCCCAACACTGGCTTTTCCTAACTTGAGCAAGAGTAGGTTTATTTAGACTGAACAAGTATCAACTCAATAAGGCTCAGTTACTCCACCAGCTAGCAAAGGTCTTATTTTTATTCTTACAACAACAATGACCCAGTGAGCACTTAATAGGCGCCACAGATTTCTGCATGCATCGCCTTACTTGGTGCTCACAATAAGCCGACATTGGAAGTGCACTGAGCCCTGCTTTACAGGGGGAGAGAGAGGCTCAGAGCACTTGCTCCATTTGTCTATTCTGGTGCAGCTAGGGTAAGAGACAGAGCAGGGGTCAGAACTCAGTTCTAACCCTCAAACCCACAGTCAGTCCATTAAGCCAAAAGTTTTCAAACCGTGGTTCCCGGAGCCCTAGATAGGAGGGAACCGCGGATCCTGGATTCCAGGCCTCCACCTCTGTATGAACCAGAGAGGCTACATTTCCTCCATACTTTGTAGATAAGATTTAATTTGCAAGTGCAGCACGAGGCCCCGCTGCCCACTGCAGACAATGCTGAGTAAAGGTCTGACAGGGCGCTCTAGCTGCTGGGATGGGTATCACTGACGTATGAGATGTGGGGCTTGTGAATAACAGTCCCGCAGTCTGGTTGAGGAACACACCCGACACGTACGAAATAACAGCCTCCTCCTTGCAGCAACCTGTCTGGCTCCCACAATATGGATTCTGGGGAGAGAGCGGTCCCTAAGGGAACAAGGATGCAAAAAGGCTTGAAAAGGAATGGGCACATGAGTAAAGTCTAAAAGTCAAATCTTCTGGATTTGAAGAGCTGAAATGGTGGGGTTGAGCCTTTCTCCCTGTTTTCGTTAATGATTTCATCACTCACTCCATTGCCCAGACTGACTTGTCTTGTACTCTTGCCGCCATTGCTATGGATTCTATGACCACTGCATTCTTTCATCCACCCCCACCAACCTGACCCCAGGTCAAGCCCTCATCACTTCTGTTTTCAAGATTGCAACAATCTCCTCATGACCTCCCCATCCAACCATTCTCCACAGGGAAGCCAGAGCCATGTTTTAAAAAACTGCAGATGTCAATCTCCTTCATAAAAGGTCCTAGCCTTTCTGTGCAGCAGGCAAAGTTCCCCAAAACTAACCGTACCATCATTTCCACCCTCATCCTCTGTCACTCTTCTAGGTGCTGCCTGAAACTGGTATTCCAGGCACAGTAACAAGCTCACCTGTTTCTTACAATCACAGGTTTCTGTCTCTTATCCAATGCTGTGTTTCCTGACCAAAATGTCAAGCCTTCACTCCTCCTCCAAGCTACACCTCAAATGTCACTGCTTCTGGGAAGTCTTCCCACTTGCCCCAAGTCAAAGGCCATAGAACTTTGGATCAAGGACCATTAAGCGCTTCTTGCTTTCTCTGACCATTCCTGGGTTTCCCTCCACTAAACTGTAAACACTCTAGACTCAGAAACTGTCTTTACCATTTCTCTATCCCCATTGCTTATCAGTTAATAACTGCTGAGTGAATGACTCCAGGTAAGAAAAATCAAATAAAGCAAACTTTTGGAATAGGGTTGAGCATATTTTATGGAGAACAGGTAGGATCAGAAAGTGGTCAAGAAAAACATTTGTATTTCCACTAAGGAGCGGTTTCACAATTACAAGTTCCTACATAATCAACATAAGGAATAGGTTACACACACACACACACACACACGCACACACACACACAAATTGCATTTTTTGAAAAGAAAGACGCACTCATCATTACATCAGAATATACATTCTTCTAGGCTTCCTAGGGTGCAGAGCTGGCCCTGATGTACCTTGAATGCATTACAGGAGGCTGACACATGGCTCCTTCTGCCCTCAGGACAACCAGGTAGGGCTCAGGCTTCCAGGTGGCCATCCCTGACTACATTAGCCTCATTCACTGTGTACAGAACGAATATCATTATCTTATAGTATTTGAGGAAAAAATTGATTTGAATCAAGCAGCACCAAATCAGAAGTGTTCAGGAGTACTCCACCAACAGGAGCACAGAGAGAGAGACTTTTATAGAGAAAAGGCAGAAACAAAGTCAGGAAACTATTGATTGGCTATTAGTGACCGTCCGCCCTGAGTGTTTTGACTTCATAACCATGAGGTGTGTATGGGCTTAGATTTTGGGTTATACGGATTATACAGGCTGCCACAGCATTAAAGCCACATCAGTTTAAAGGCCTCCTTGTTTAATTAATTTAACAGTTCCCCCATTTTGGTCATCCTCTGATACTCAAAAGATTGACCAAACGCCTGGTATTAGTGTGATTCTCAGTCACCATCAATACTAAGTTGCTCTTGTCTCGTTATGGAACTCATAGGGAATGACATCAGATCCATGGAAGAATTGTCTTTGTGTTCCTCTCATTGCTCATCTTGTTTGTTTCTCCAAGGGCAGTGAGACCACACAAGGGAGACTATTATTAGGAGGGTAACACTAAGAAACTTAAATATACTCATTAGCCAGGTCACCCATGAACCATGTCAGTTGGTATCAAACAAATTTTTAAAATGCACCTAAAAGGGCATCAACCTATTTTCCCAGGCAGCATACTTAGTTGTTGCTACAATACCAGAAGTATCGATTCAGGTACAGCAGGAGTTATTTGCTACCGCACAGACTCTTCTTTGTTCAGCCAGTAAGTAATCTAAAGCAATTCTATTGTCTAAAACCACCTTCGCAGGAAAGTCAAGGGACTTTTACGGTGCAGCTATGGCCTTACTGGTACATTCAGTGAGAGTTGCCAGAATTAAGAAGCACTACCCTCCTGTACATTAACAGAAAAAACAAATAGCAAAAAAGCAAAAAGATGCTGGAGATGAAGATCTTCATCTGTGAACTTGGAAGAGCTGTCCACTCGAGATGCCATCTGCTTCTGAGGAGTAACCTCCCTAGTCAGTTTTAATTTTAGATCTCTAGCAGATGTGCAATTCCAAGAGTCTTAAGTCTTTTTAACTGGGAGATATGGATCCAAGATTCAAATTCCTGAAGTTTGACTTACGTATGGTAGCGAGGAGGACCTGGTATAGTCTCTTCCAAGAAAGGGTTAAGGCAGTCTTTCTTTTCAGTGATTCCAAATCAGAGGGATGAGAGAAAATTGGGAACTTTAGTATGGACAGTTGTAGGCAATAGAATTCAAGATCCATTTCAGCTTATAGGTATATAACAAAGCCCTCAGGACAATAAACAGGACTAGAATCTGATGTCTACACATTTGTGTATAATATCCTAAAAACAAAATTTTTTCCTCTACGATCACCCTCATCTCTATCAAAGATCATCACAGTAAGACTAATTTGTTTGCAAAATAAGTCTAGTCTCATTAGATTTGGCCTGATTATTCACATAAGTGCAGCAAGCATAGTGATCAACCAGATAGGCTCTTTTTAAATCTTTTTGCTGAAACTTTTCATAAGGACTCTTAGACTGGACTGTTAAAAGCCTCCCCAGACTAAGAAACCAAGCCAAGAACTCACCATCAGACTTCACCTGACATACCTACAGATCTGCATGAATTCTCCCGTTTGAAGGTAACCTGAGGGTTTCTGAGGAGCTGCCAGGAAGCCTCCATTACCCACTTGGTAAGTTTACAGGGAACCCTGAAGCAAGGTATTGGGCTAGTTTATCCAAGGGGCTTTTATTGGTTGCATGAAGTCAAACTTAGCTCCTTCAAACTGTCTGGTCATATTTGTTTTTCTTTTTTTTTTTTTTTTAAGATTTTATTTATTTATTTGAAAGGAGAGAGAGAGAGAGAACAAGTTGGGGGAGGGAGGGGCAGAGGGAAAGAGAGAGGGACAAGCAGATTCCCTGCTGAGCAGGGAGCCGTGTCTAGTTTTATATGACTATATACATATTCTCAAACATGATATTCCAGTCAAAGCTTTGGTAATATAACCAATGTTTACAATTGTGTCCTGCTATAAGGAGAACAGATTCTATTGAACTTATGCAAATAACTATATTGCCATGAAAATAAGAATACTCAAAAAATTTCTGAATTCAGTAGGGATCAGATAGGAAGAAAAAGTAAATGTTTCGTTTCTGTTTACAAAGGTATACTTTACGAAATTACTATAAGTCATAGATAGCTTAAGAGAAAAGAGAAAAAGCTTTCCTTAAATCTGGAAGAAAACAAAACTAAGGAAGCAGCAGTGTTTCAAAGAAACAGTTGTAAAAAAAATTACAATCACCTTCATCAATTCATTCAATTCCATGTTATTAATTTTCATTCCACTTGAATCCAGTTTTTCCTTTAGTTCTGGAAATTCTTTCCCAGTTCAGTTTTATGATCTTAAAGTAATCAGAAACCTATATTCAAAAGTACTTATCAGACTTCTTTCTATGAATCTTTCTGAAGATGAAGCACCTTTGCAAAAACATCAGAGTAAATTAGTAATTGTCTATAAATGACAAAAAGACTTAACCAAACAGCCATGGTAATAGATCTGAAGAGAGTTCATCTGATAAGGAAATGTAGTTATTTCTGTTGCACCAATAATTTAGGCTAATAGTTGGACAATATGAGAATACTGACAAATTTCTAACAACTTTAAACAATTTCTGGAATACAGATATTAGTAACAGACATTCATATACATATAACCTAAGAAGGTTTATCATCACTTATTTGACAGTGCTTCCCACATAATTTAACAGACTAGATAACCCTAATTAGTTTAACATCTCTCTTTAACAAGATGA